AGACATAAACCAAGTATTGATTAATAGGTTGGAAAGCATAGAAAAGGAATTAGGTGGAACCAAGAATCAGTACGAAAAATTGAGGGCTAGAAATCGAGAACTAGGGGATACTGTGTCAGAACTTCAAATTCAACTGAACCATATGTTGAAGTGGAAAAAATATTGAAGATTATGTGTTTTGTAATGTTATGTGTATGTTTGATTAAGCTGTTTTAGGAGTATGTATTATGTGTAACGTACAACCTTATGACTTCTTTTGGATTATGATTTTTTTAGGAGTATGTATCATTTTGTAAGACAATTTATCAGTTTAATATTATTGTTTATAGCAACATAATTTTGGTCAATACCAGAAAATGAATATTTCAGATTAATATGAATTTATAATATGAACTCGAACATATCATATTAAATGAACATTATCACAAAATGAAATTACATAGATATGTCCCAAAATGCATAGATATGTTAAATATACATGTTCCAAAATACCATAAACATGTTACATAAAGTTGACAGGAGGACATGTTGCATATACATGTTCAAAAACACCATAAACATGTTCAAAAAACCTGACATAAAGACATGTTACATAGATATGTTCCAAAATACCATAAACTACATAAAGCCTAAAATTATAACTAAATGATCCTCTTTGATGTGCTTCTCTTGGTTGGAGTAGATCGCCTGGTGGTAGGACCGATTGCATTCTTGGTTGCTGAGAGTCTTGTTGTTGGACCTGGGGGTACAAAAGGCCTTCTCACACCTAGTTTTTGTAGCTTTCTAGTTCCTCTAGCTTTCTCTTTTGTGCCTTGCCCTGGTACTTCCTTTCCTTGTGAAGACTGAGTTGTATTCATGTATCACTGACTTGCATTGTCTTGCCTAGCAGTGCCTTGTATTGTATTGCCTTGCCTTGCGTTGCCTTGCCTTAATTTGAATTGCCCTGAGTTGCATTTCCTTGAGCTGTAGTGGTTTGAGATGCAATGTCTTGTGTTGCATTTCCTTGAGTTCACTGCCTTACCTTGCATTACCTTGAGTTGCATTGTCTTAAGTTACATTTCCTTGAGCTGCAGTGGTTTGAGATGTAGTGCCTTGTGTTGCATTGCCTTGAGTTGCATTGCCTTGCCTTGCATTATCTTAAGTTGCATTGCCCTGAGTTGCATTTCCTTGAGCAATAGTGGTTTGAGATGCAGTGCCTTGTATTGTATTGACCTTGCAGGTTTTCTTGTTATATCCAATTTTCTTGCACCTAGAGCACTTTACAATAAAACCAGTTCTTATCAATTTTCTGTCACTTCCATCAATCTCCCTTTGTTCAAGATTTCTCCTTTTCTTTGGTCTACCATACATCTTTCTAAACTTAGGTGGCTGCACATCTAGATATAGAGTTTTGGCCCATAGATTGGATTCATTCACAGGATAAAACACAAACCTATATACTACCTTGTACCTAGATACCCTATAATAATCTGGAATGTAATCATCAACTTTAAAATTCCCACTCTTCATGGCTGACATGGCATGGACACATGGAAGTCCTGTGAGTTCCCACCTTATGCATGAGCACAAGTAATCCTTCAAGTTCACAGTGAATGTTTCAGCTGGGTTTTCCACATGCCTTACTTCAAACATATGCTCGTCTGACATTCTGCAATTAACATTAATAATAACAATTAACATTCTGCATTTGACATCAACAATAACAATTAACATTATGCAATTAACATTAACAATAACAGAATATACCTGACAAGCCATAAGTTTGTGAAGGCACTTGTTATGTCCATCTTCTTTCTAATGTTGGGCAAAATATCATTACCAGATATTTCTTGGAACCTTATTCTGTTTTTTTTCCCATCTCTCCATCATGTAAGTTATGATCTCCTTCTGTTGGTCTAAAATGAAAATGTATGAGCGACATTCATGTCCACCTCCCATATCATCAATCAATAGCTTTAAAACCATGTCATAAGCATCCTTCGTAGCATATGTAAATCCTTTTGAAAAATGGTCTCTGATCATCAACATCTTCTGGAGCAGGTTTAACATTCATCTTAACTGTTGACCCTGGATTGGCTCTTAGCAGTTCATGACAATAGTCATATATCCTAGTGTAATCATCCAAAAAGGAACCATCAACCCTATTCCTTACAGCCACTCTTGCTCTTATTGCTTTAGTCTTGTTTACACCTACATTCCACTTCCTCAATGCCTTTTCTTTAATGTCCTGGACCTTCAATCTAGGGTTGTTTTTCAATGCACTCTGAATCTTTTTGCTTAACCACTTTGTGCTTAACATCCTCACATTATACTCCCTACTGCAGTTATGATTGTCAATTACTTTCCTTATTTGCCAGGTTTCCTCATTTAATAACTTGGCAAAATAAACCTCCCACTCACAATCTTCCTTACATCTCACCCTCACCCTTTTCTTATCATTTTTATGGTCTTGAGGGCTCTTCCATTTTGAATAGAATATGAGACAATTGCTTCCTTAATGTCATCCTTTGAAGTAAAATACATTCCTAATTCCCATTTGTAATTGGGCATATCTTTTATCTCTTTAAAAATTGGGCATTTCTTCCTTTTAACCCCACTACTGTCATCACTGTCACAACCACTTTGAAGATCATCATTGTCATTGTTACTCCCCTTATATTCCTCTGTATCTTTGCTGAAATTTCCTTTTCCTTTTACTTTTCCTTTTCATATTTCATTACATTGATACACAGTCAGGTCTACAATTTCATTTTCATCAATGTCCTCATAACCATCAGATTCATCGTCAAAGGCTACTTCTAGGGCACTATCATAATGGTAACTCTCATCCTCACTGTCATCAGAATTGGATTCATCATGCACCTGACCATCATTATTTGGCTCCACTTTAACATTTGTGGCTTCCACCCCTACATTTGCATCATTCAATCCAGCATTACTTTGTTCCACAACAACATTTGGATAATTCAATTCATCATTAACTTCATCCACACCAACAACAGACTCCTTTAACTTTCCTTCAATGTCATCATGCAACTTGCTAAGCAACTCCTCCATCTCATCTACAATGTTCTCAGGCTCCTCAACAAGACCATCACAATACTCAAATGGAGACCAACTGTTTTGAATGTAAACATGAACAATATGGTGCACCCTGTATAGGTCTGCAATTTCTAGAGCACATTTGTCATCAACTAGTTCATTCATCCCAAATTGTGAGTCTTTGTAATACATTTTCTCTATATTGTCCGTATAACTTAAATCTTTCAATACACCAACTAACTCAAAGTAACTCCACCTATCAACATCTACTGACAATTTAGATATCAGGCCTCCTTCATAGACACTAAGCTCTGGATCAACGAACTCACCACTGTGGTGAATTACGAGTTTCAGAAATTCATCCATTAAACCTAAATCCCATAACAAATATTCAGTTACGAAGACAAAACAAGAATAACATATCTAAATCCCCAAATCCCTAAATACCAGTTACCAACGAGTATGAGAATAGTTACCTAGAAAGCAATCACCTTCGCAATCATCTTCTCAAGCTTCGCAAGCCTTTTCAAACTCGCCTCGCATATTCTCGTTCTTCCTCTTTCCTTTGGCTTTCGTTTTGGACAAAATGAACATGCATATGCTATCTTGAGCTTTTGGAGATTGTGTGTCCTTATTTTCTGTCACATTGCCTCCAATAAGCCACTTCAGCATGACAAATGCCACCTGAAGTCTGTTTTTTGTATTTAACTAACGTTTCACTAACGAAAGGACTAACGTGATTGTTTTGAAACTTAAGAGACCAATTTGGCACGAAAAAAAAATAAGAGACCAAAGTGAACTATAACCTATAGTTAAGGGACCAAAATGAGTATTTTGCCTTTTTTTAAAGTCTATTTAATTAAAAAAAAAATTATGCCATATAAAAAAACATGTTAAGGATGTTTATATTAACTTATTTAAATAAATATGAATATATTTATATTATTATATTGTATTTTATATTTTAAATTAAAATATAAAAATAAAATTTAATTATTTTAAAGTATTTATGAAAATAAATTAAAAAAAATCTTATGAGTAACGTCATAAATATTTTCATAAATAAAAAAAATCACAAAATTTATGTTTGTAGGTAAATTCGAATAAATATAATATTTAATTTCATTATTATTTTAATTTGTTATTCTATTTAAAAATTAGTTAAATTGTTTATTTATATGTATTCAAATAAAATAATTTTTAAAAATAATTTTGAAAAAGTTAGACTCAAATTTAAAAATAAAACTTGACATGTTACAAGTCTAATTTAGGCTTTAAATTTTATAGTAGATTGAATTTAATTTGAAAAAGTTTAATTCGACTCAACTTATTCTCACCTTTATTTTTCTATAATAAAATGACTTATTTATTTATGATATTTTAATAAATCTAAAATTGATTATTTAATTGTATAAATGATTTTTTTAAAATTATTTAAATTTGTTTAATTACTTTTAACTTTTTAATGTATTATTTATTTATTTATAAAATTTTAAAATATCAGAAGTTAAATTTAAAAACATAAATAATCTATTATTTTTATAATTTAAATATAATAAATATTTTTTCTTATAATTATTAAGTAGTGAAATAATTATATAATATATTTAATTTTATCAGATATACATCATAAAATATATATTTTATCATATCATTGTGATGTCATATTCTTATCTTTTTATTATATTTTTTTTCAATCTTAATTTTCCAAAAATTCCACTATTATTATTATTATTATTATTATTATTATTATTATTATTATTATTATTATTATTAATATATTACTATTATCTTCTACAATTAAAAAAAAAATATTTAAGTGGCTGTTGTAATTTGAATGTGACACTTAGACGAGTAAATTGAACACCTAACAACCTTCTTCCACCTCTGTTTTCTCCGCCCCATTTATTCAAAATTTAGGAGTTTCTGTAACAAACATCTATAACTAATTTCAGTTAATGGAACTTCAATTAGTTCAAAACGGTTTCGATTATGTCCGCAAAAGAAAGAAATGGACCTTCATCTTACTCGCAGTAGGGTTCACCACTTACGGTTGTTACAAAACTTATCACGCACCTTTCATAGCTCAAAAGCGAAAGAATTTTTCTAAAATTCTTAATTCTTTCGTTTCTGTAGCAGAAGCCGTTTCCGATTCTGCAGATACCATTGGTATTGTCACCAAAGACGTGAATGATTTCTTACAATCCGATTCTGATCGAGTTCCGAATAGTTTGAATCAAATCTCTAAATTATCTGCCTCGAAACAGTTTTCAGATTCTTTGGTTAGTATCATGACTTCCGTAACTGTCGGAGTCTTGCGCGGTTATCAAACCGTGAACCGGAGTGATGAAATTCATCCGTCCGGTTCTGGTTCAATCATTGCGGACAAGGTGTTTGATAAAATGTTTCAATGTGGAAAACAAGTTTTAATGTGTTGTACAAGCATGGTCTGAGTTGGTAGGAGGTTCTAGGCATGTTGCTTTTGGTTTTTGACTTTTCTTATGTTCAGATGAAACAAGTTAGGAGCTCTATGCATTGACTTTGTGATTAAAGTCACTTTTTCAAAATGGAAGTGTGAACTTTGTTCCATTAATGGAATAATCACTTGGACAATGACTCAAACACTTGGATCATAGCTCAAATAGTTGTGTAATCTTCTGATTATGGATAGATTTAGAGGTTAGAAGCCTGTAAAGTAAGATTTATGCAGCATGGGTGTGGATTGGATCAAATGTTCATCATGAAAATGACTTGAAAAACAAGTTTGAAATCCTAACTTTTTGCCTTCGATTCTCTTAGCTCAAGTATGGTCTTGATGAGTTCTTAGACATTTTAGAAAGCTTGTAACATCCTCTACAACCTTCATGTTGGAAAATTTTGAAGATTCATCTTGGAACTAGGTGAAAAGTTGCCATGAAGTTGGTACCAAAAATCTGCCTTACTAGGGCAAAATTTCACTAAGTGTTTAAGTTTCATGAGCATGTCTTCACAAATTCATAACTTGAAATCCAAGCATTTCTAGAAAAATTTCTGCCCAATAATGTTTTAGATCTCATTGATATATACAACTTTCATGTTAGAAGTTTCCCTTGAATCATCTTGCATCATGGTGGAAATTTAGCACAAAGTTATGAAAAAAAAGTTAACTTTCTAACACTTAGAAAAATTTCTAAGTCTTAGAATTTTGACTTTTCAAAGATAATTTTGACTTTTCAATTTCTTGATGAACAAGTTTTATATTTTGACATGTCTTGATGAAATATGACTTTTGGAACTTGATTTTGATTAAAAAAATCAAAGTTTGACTTTTCAGTGTACAGTTAACTTTTCATCAGTTGACTGAAATCCATATGTCAATCCAATGATCTTGAGAGGTGATTTGAACCATGCAATTTAGGTCAAGATTGTGCATTTGAATCCTTGAGATCATGTCTTAAACCAATAAGTCATTCTCTTGGTCAAAAGTCAAGAACTGAGTCTTCTCAATCAAAACCCTAATTTTAACCATTTTGCCCTTTGGGAGTTCTAATCAAATTTATTTGAGGAATTCTGATCCAACTTGATCAAATGTCATCTATGAGTTCATAATGTTGAGATGAATCAAAAATTATGAAGTTTGACTGTAAATTGACCACAATTGAGTTTTTATCCAATACAACTTATTTTAGGTCATCTGATCAACTGACTGAGCATTTTTGTGATCCATGACTTGAAACTTGTCATGAGCAATTTTTAGGGTTCCTAATGATCCATAAAAGTCACTTGAGTCCTTGAAAGTCCAATTGTCCTTGTGAAAACTCAAACCCTAATTTTGAGTTGTCAGTGGTTGAGGAGATGTCTTGAGTTGATCAAACCTTGTGTAGTCTTGAATCAATGAAGATCTTATGAAAGATTTATTGAGAAATGAGAGGGCAAATTTTGGGGTACAACAGGGAGATTATGCACTCTTAGAAATCATGGTTGATAACAATTAGGTTTAGGAGTGGAGGTGACAATGAGTATTAAAATGGAAATTGCAACGAAAACTTTGGCCCATATTAGTTTTATCGGGGCACCACTATAATTGTAAAAAAGTACAAGGGTGCATGGTACTCCTACTCTAGGATGACCAAAGGCCTTAGTATTTTTCTGGTGACAATGACTTGCCTGCAGCAGTTGTTAGAAATTTAGGGTGTGATAATCCTGGATAACTTCGATGAATCGTGTTCGTACACTTTCCGAACAAAGTATTTCGACCCTATTCTTGTCTGGGTTCACGAAATCTTTGTGGGGATAATTCTCGAAGAAATTCTGTTTCCGACAAAAGAAAACGAATTGTAATTATAGAGAGAAGGATGCGTTTTTCCTGTGTACGAGACCGAGGCCGAACGACTCCTTATATAGGAGAACAGTAATTGAAAACGAAGAGACACCTTTGTTCGAAACGAATATGTCCGTTGGGAAACAGTTATGTCCGTTGGGAAACAGTTATGTCCGCTGCCCCGCACCCCGCCAGGGGCTTCGCCCCTTGGAACCCCAACGGGGCGCTGCCCCGCACCTCTCCAGGGGCTTCGCCCCTTGGAACCCCGTTTCAATTATTCGTATTCAATTATGCATTGGCTCGACGAGCGTGCACTCCTCACTTCCCTAACTCGTCTCCGAACTTAACGCATAATTGCATCGGCCTTTAGAAATCACATTACTACTAAAATATATTGGTGATACAAAATCGCCAACAGCAGTGAGAGACCCTATTTGGTGGTGTTTCTGGCTATGGAGAGAGCAAGCTTATGTGAGGTGATAAGCTTTATATTTATGCGTTATTCTGATTATGTTATGATCTTTTATATCATATAGGGAGGGATGCGGTATTTATACAAGAACTTAGGTCTAGAGTATTCTTGAGAATGATAACTGCCCACTTAGTCAATGGTGAACCGTTGAATCCCTATTTCATAGAGAGATGTGGTTTTATCATGTTGACCATGACTTTTCTTTTCTCTGACTGGGAAACATCTTTTCTCACTTTTTCCACAACTGAGCGAGTAGGACGCGCTTAGGACGACATAGTTCCTAATTTATATTATATTAAATTAAATTTTTAAATATATATTTTAAGAATAAATCAGTAGTTTATTTTTCTTATCTTATCCTACACTTGCTTATAACCACATCATTGTATTTTCTATTTATTAAATTATAGTGATATATTTCTAAATGATCTATTAAGGGCGAGAGGATTGCAACCCTTTAGAGGATACATATTTATATGAGTGTGAGTTGTTGGTTCAAAATTTAATATTCTACAATAAGTTTTCTTTATATTTTTTTTATAATGTACTCTTGTAAATAATATGTTTGTATTTATAAATCAACAATTTCTTTTAAAAATATGAATAATATTTTTGAAAAAGTTAAACACGATTTAATTACATTAATAAACTTATATCATTTAGATATAATATATATCATCATATCTTTATTTATTCTATTTAACCTATAAAATAAAACAACTTATGAATAAGAGTGAGAATTCATGAGACTACCTAACATGAGCTTACGATCTATTCATATATTCAAATTAGACTTTTTAAAAAAAAATAGTAAATGTCTAAGTTTTTTTAAAGGCAAAATACTCATTTTGGTCCCTTAACTATAGGGCATGGTTCACTTTGGTCCCTTATCTTTTTTTCGTGCTAAATTGGTCCCTTAAATTTCAAAATACAACAATGTTAGTCCTTTTGTTAGCTGGGCTCAAACATCTGTGAACTTGTCCTACGTGGCAGATGCGCTGATCAATAGCTTCATCTTCTTTATATGTTACAGGAGACGTTTTCCTCTTCTCCATTTTCTTTATATGCTTCATCTACTCTTCATCTTCTCCATGATACGTTTTCATCTCCCTCCCCATACTGTTCAAGTCATTTCGTCAATTACCCATGAATACGAAGCAGTCTTCTTTGCAAGCGGACATGAAGAAATCTGAAAGTATTGATTCATGTGTTTACAGTGGCTCGCGAATTGCACCATTATGTCTTTGTGGAGATAAAGTTGTCATGCGCAGGGCAACCACTGAAAAGAAATTTGGAAAGAAATTTTGGGGTTGTCACAATTACAAGGTAAGCCCTAATTGCTAATTTTTGTTTGGATATGTTAAAAAACAGAAAACCCAGATTGTTCCAATTTTGAAATTTGCAGGGGTCATTGCAAAGAGGATGTAGTTTTATGAGGAATCTGGAGAAGACATAAACCAAGTATTGATTAATAGGTTGGAAAGCATAAAAAAGGAATTAGGCGGAACCAAGAATCAGTATGAAAAATTGAGGGCTAGAAATGAAGAATTAGGGGATGCTGTGTCAGAACTTTAAATTCAACTTAACTATATGTTGAAGTGGAAAAAATCATTGAAGATTATGTGTTTTGTAATGTTATGTGTATGTTTGATTAAGTTCTTTTAAGAGTATATATTATGTGTAATGTGCAACCTTATGGCTTCTTTTGGATTATGACTTTTTTAGGAGTATGTATCATTTTGTAAGACAATTTATCAGTTTAATATTATTGTTTGTAGCAACATAATTTTGGTCAATACCAGAAACTGAAGATTTCAGATTAATATGAATTGATAATATAAACTTGAACATATCATATTAAATGAACGTTATCACAAAATGGCATTAGATATATATGTTCCAAAATGCATAGACATGTTACATAGATATGTTCCAAAATACCATAAACATGTTACATAAAGTTGACAGAACAACATGTTACATAGACATGTTCAAAAACACCATAAACACAAAAAACCTGACATAAAGACATGTTACATAGACATGTTCTAAAATACCATAAACTACATAAAGCCTAAAATTATAACTAGATGGTCCTCTTTGATGTGCTTCTCTTGGTTGGAGTAGATTGCCTGGTGGTAGGACCAATTGCATTCTTGGCTGCTGAGAGTCTTATTGTTGGTTCTGGGGGTACAAAGAGCCTTCTCACACCTAGTTTTTGTAGCTTTCTAGTTCCTCTAGATTTCTCTTTTGTGCCTTTCCCTGGTACTTCCTTTCCTTGTGAAGACTGAGTTACATTCATGCATCCCTATGTAACTGATGCTTGTGTTGTTGCAACTTGACTTGTAGTGGTTTGAGATGCAGAAACTTGTCTTGTCCCAATCTGACTTGCATTGGTCCCAACCCGACTTGCATTGTCTTGCCTTGTAGTGCATTGTGTTGTATTGCCTTGCCTTGCATTGCCTTGAGTTGCATTGCCCTGAGTTGCATTTCCTTGAGCTGCAGTGGTTTGAGATGTAGTGTCTTGTGTTGCATTGCCTTGAGTTGCATTGCCTTGTGTGATCGGTGGAAATAGAACTGACCGTTTTTAAGCTGGTTCGCAAAATGTCGCGGTAAGCAAGAGTCGCCACCGTCTTTTATGTTCTCTAACATGGAAAGGACAAAAACACAACAAAATTCCTTCTTTGAGACGTCTCTCGGTTCGGGAGGTAGATTTATAGAAAGGGAAGGTGTTAGCACCCTTTCTATCCATGGTTATCCATGGGCT